GCACGGCATGGCGCGCGGCGCGGCACAGTAAGCACATGGCACGGCACAGCACATCGATGACGACGGACGACGACGACGACGACGACGACGACGACGACGACGACGACGACGACGACGACGACGACGACGACGACGACGACGACGGTGACGACGACGACGGTGACGACGACGATGGTGGCCCCCAACAGCAGCGGCGCCGATGACGGCGACGACGACAGCGGTGGCCCCCAACAGCGACGGCGACGACGACGGCGACGACGACGACCCAACAGCGAGGGCGACGAGGACGACGGCGGCGACGACGACGACGGTGGCCCCCAACAGCGACGGCGACGACGACAGTGACGACGACGACGGTGGCTCCCAACAGCGACGGCGACGACGACGACGACGGTGGCCCCCCGCAGGAGCGGCGCGACGACGGCGACGACGACGACGACGACGGTGGTTCCCAACGGTGGCGGCGGCGGCGACGGTGGTTATCAACGACGACGACGACAGGGGCCCACAACAGCAGCGGCGGTGACGACGGCGACGACGACGACGGTGGCCCCCAACAGCGACGGTTGCGACGACGGTGGTTCCCAACAGCAGCGGCTGCGGTGACGACGGCGACGACGACGGCGGCCCCCAACACTGGCGACGGCGACGACGGCGACGGTGGCCCCCAAAAGCGACGGCGACGACGACGACGACTATGACGACGGCGGTTGCCCCAAACAGCGACGGCGACGACGACGATGACGACGACGACGGTGGCCCACAACAGCGACGGCGACGACGACGGTGACGACGACGACGGTGGCCCCCAACAACGACGGCGACGACGACGACGACGACGACGACGACGGTGGCCCCAACAGTGGCGATTACGACGACGGGGACGACGACGACGACGACGGTGGCCCCAAACAGCGACGGCGACGACGACGGCGACGACGATGGCCCCCAGCAGCGGTGGCGGTGACGACGGCGACGACGACGACGACGGTGGTCTCCGACAGCGTCGGCGACGAGGACGGTGACGGTGACGACGACGGTGGACCCTAACACCGCCAGCGACGGCGACGGCGACGATGGCAGTCAACAGCGACGTCGACGACGACGACGACGACGACGACGACGACGACGACGACGACGGCGACGGTGGTGGTTCCCAACGGCAGTGGCGGCGACGACGGCGACGACGACTGTGGCCACCAACAGCGTCGGCGGTGACGACGGCGACGAAGACGACGACCCTGGCCCCCAACAGCGACGGCGACGACGACGCGGACGACGACCCTGGCCCCCAACAGCGACGGCGACGACGACAAGGACGACGACGACGGTGGCGCCCAACAGCGGCGGCGACGACGACGGCGACGACGACGACGGTGGCGGCCCCAAACAGCGGCGGCGGCGACGACGGCGACGGCGACGATGGCCCCCAACAGTGGCGGCGGCGACGACGGCGACGGCGACGGTTATCCCCAACAGCGACGGCGTCCACGACGGCGGCGACGACGGCGGTGGCCCACAAAGGCAGCGGCCGTGACGACGGCGCCGTCGACTGTGGCCGCCAACAGCGGCGGTGGCGATGACAGTGGTTCCATACAGCAGCGGCGGCGACGACGGCGATTACGACGACGGAGACCCCCAACCGCGACGGCGGCGTCGACGGCGACGGCGACGGTGGCCCCCAACATCAGCGACGGCGACGACGACGGCGACGACGACGACGACGACGACGGTGGCCCCCAACAGCGACGGCGACGACGACGGTGACGACGACGACGGTGGCCCCAAACAGCGACAGCGAGCGGCGCGGCGGCGGCGGCGGCGGCGGGCGGCGGCGGCGGCCGAGGCGGCGGCGGAGGCGGATTCGCCCCCAATAGGTGCCCATCCAAAGACGAATGCTGAATATGCTGCGGCTCGGGCCAGGCTCGGGTGCCACGTATGTGTTGGCAGGGCGGGTGGGAGTGCGCGAGACGGCTTCGGGCGGGGAAGGAGCCTTGACCCTCCCCTACCCCCTGCCCTGAATCTGGGGGAAGGGTTCCGCGAGGCGCTGGAGCGCCCAGGCAACCTCATCAGACAGGGTCTGTACATGTACGTGCTCATCAGTCACACGTGTATGTGAGGAAACCGACGGCGCCAAGGAAACCTCATCAGACAGGGGCTGACCGACATATAGCATGGTATTCACACGCGTACGTTACGACAGATACTTGTGCAGAGGAGGACTGAATACATCGGGAATTTAAGGGGGTACGTACAGGTACTACAACTGTTACATCGGGAATTGAAGGGGGTACGTGCGGGTACTAGCACTGGTATCACGTGCTCATCATTTGAACCAACAGCGGTGGTGCAAGCCCAGTATGGCTCCCGACATAAATCACGGTATCACATATGTACTCACTGCGTGCACACTATGACGGCATCGCCACGCAATGTACAAGTACGTGCTCATCATTCACACGTGTATGTGAGGAAACCGACGGTGTCAAGGCAACCTCATCAAACAGGGGCTGGCCGACATATAGCACGATATTCACACGCGAACGTCACGACATATACTTGTGCAGAGGAGGACTGATTGGACACGCACCGGTGGTGCCGAGATAACCTGGCCCCCGACATACATCACGGTGGATATGTACTCACTGCGTGCACACTATCACGGCATCGCCACGTAATATACACGTGCGTGTTCATTATTCAACATGTATGTGAGGAAACCGACGGCGCCAAGGCAACCTCATCACGACATACGCTGGTCTCTTACCACATGTACTTGTGCATGTGCAGATCCGTATGGCTCACAATAAATATTCGCGCAGACAAAGCGCATCACGATTGTGAAGCAGGGAACAGGTGCAGACACAGTACACAGGTGCTGCTTGCCTGTAGATGATTTTGGGTAATTCCAGTGGTGCTCGTTGTGCGTGGGGCGGTGTACCAGACTTACTTGTGCATGTCACGACATACGCCGTCTGCCGTCTGCCGCCGCGCCCGCCCTCGACGGCGGCACGCCGCTGATAGATGTTGTACAACGGGGCGAAAATTTGGCGCGCGCGGCGGCGGCATGCCGCTGATAGATTTTACACAACGGGGCCCAATTGGATCTCCCAAACCCAAAGGCGCAAACCCAATGTAAAAAAATCGTTCTCTGATCGGAAGACGGGATCATCCTCATGGCGCAAACCCAATGTTGAAAAATATTCTCTGATCGGAAGACGGGATCATCCTCATGTGGATATACGATACGGACTGCAAAAATGCCAATCGCCAACGAGCGCGCGCGCGGCGGCGGCATGCCGCTGATGCAGTTGATACAACGGGGGCGATGTTGCACTCCAAAACCCGATGACAAAAACCCAATTCAGCACCGTTCGGTGGAGTTCCCTATGTGCCGAACGGGCCCGAGTCCGCCATATGGGCCCTGCCAGTGGGGCCCCCGGCGGAGCTCACTACGTGGCCACGAAGCGCGCGAAGGGCGCGCCAAAGTGGTGAGCACGCGGAGAGCACAGGCAGGGGTGGGAAGTGGGAGGGCGGGGCAAAACGAAGACCCAACATCACAGGATGGCTGGGGCAAAAATCCACCACCGCGCCGTTGGGTACGGAAATGGCGTGTCCCGAGGTCCTTTGCCTAATCCTTGAAGCGCCCCTTAGGAGCCTTTGAGGGCCCCCAAGACCTAGTCCCCAAATTCTCGAATACGTTCGGGGTTCTCTTGGGTCCTGGCGCACCTTCCCGCGCGATTTGTTCGGGGCCGAGCGGGCCCCAAGACGGGGCAAGAGGGCCCCGAGAGGCTCCCGAGACGGTCCAAGCGGGCCCCGAAACGCCCCGAGACCGCACCAAAACGCCCAAAATGGCCCCATGACGGCCCAATAGGCATCCGAAGCGCCCGAAGCAAACCCCAGAGCCCCCCCAAGAGGACTCCGAGAAGGCCAAATCCGTGATGTCCACCGGCTTTGAAACTATTATGGGGCCCTCGGTCTTTCGAGCTACCGACGTTCTAAGACGGCCCAAGAGGCCCCCCAAACCACCCCGAGACTGCCCAAGAGGCCCCCAGGAAGGCCCCAGCGGCTTGAGATCGCCCCAAGACGGCCCAAGAGGGCCCCGAAACGGCCCCCAAAGGGGCCCCAGATAGGGAACATGCGCCGAAAATCCAAGCTTTCCCGTCCCAAGGGCCCTCCAGGAGGCCCCAAGAGGCGCCTAAGAGGCCCCAAGGGCCTCCATGAGGCCCAAAAGAGTTTCCCGAGAGGCCCAAAAGCAGCCCCAAAACGGCTCCCAAGACGCCCCAAAACAACCTCCTAGAGGCCCCCGAGAGGTTTCCCACGATATCCCAACGAACATCCAATAGGCTTCACACCACAACCCAGGCACGGTGGCGGAATGGGCCGAAGGCCATTAGATCCAAGAGGGAGGGTCAGGGGAGATGAAGTCCGACACCTTCGCCTCGTACGCATCCCTTTCCGACATGAGGCCGAGCAGCTGTTCGGACCGCCCGTCCGCGGCCGCCCGAGCTTCCGCATGATCGCCGAGGCCGAGGTACTTGGTCAGAGCGGCCTCGCGCCGAACAGTCGGCGCAGCCGACGCGCGGCAGCAGGGGCGAGCAAGAGGAGAGAACGTACCAAACAGAGTGGGAAGGCAGCGGACGCGGGGTCCACAAGTACTTGCAGGCGGAGTGTGGTGGCACAGTATGCGCCGACACGCTGCGCAATGGAAGCGTGCACCTGGTGTGCAAACTATAGCGCCCATAATATGTACTTACTGACGGCCCCGACATTCACATATGACGTCGGGTATCATCGCTATAAAATGTTCACCACGACATCAGGTATGACGCACACACTGCTCACCGCCCATGGCCCACATGTACTTGAAGACGGAGTGCGGGGGGACAATATGTGCAGACACGCTGCGCAGTGGCAGCGGGGCCCACACGCGCTTGCAGACGGAGTGTGTGCGGGGGGGGGAGTGTGCAGACACGTTGTGCAGTTGTGCAGTGGACGTATGCATCTTCGGTGCAACGACCGTGCCCATTACATGTGCATACAGACGGAGTGTGAGTGGACAGTGTGTTAACGGCATCGGCGATGCAGGCTATTGCAAACGAAGTGGGGGGGTGGCACTATGCTCAGACACGCTGTGCAGTTAACGCATGCATCTGCGGTGCAAGCTCTCACGCCCACTACATGCACTTACTGACGGCCCCGACATGCACACATGACGACGGGCGTTAGGGCTACAGCACGTACGTCACGACACCGGGCATGACGTCAGACCGCGCGGCTGCTCCTGGAGCCCCCAGGCGCACTCTTTGGGCCCTCTGGGGGCCCGCTTGGAGCCCGCGCGGGGCCCCAACGTGGAGATCTTCAATGCAGACTTTCATTTTGGGCTGCCCCTGGAGCTACCCAAAGGCATTTGATGGGCCCCCAATCGCACGGCTAGATACTGGATCAACCATCTTTGGCCGCCCACCATTATCAGTTTTGGCAGGAGCACCTCACGCTTGGCAACACAAAGCAGGACTTACACGTGCCACGCGCCCCCGCGAAAACCGCGCACGACAACCCGAATGACTGCGCGAATGTTCGCACCGAGTTTCGGCCACGCTGGCGAGACAAACGGCCCGACTGGCGTCCGCGGCAGCCGATGAACAATCTGTCACAAGCGGCAGCACGCAACGAACACGTCACGAAACGCGGCCCGCAAATGCGAACGAAAGCGGAGGAGGGAGATTTTCTCTTGGAGCCCTCGAGAGGCCTGACCGTTTGTTTCACAACAAAGAACGATCATGCTCGTTTGGCTGGCCGCGTTAATGTCACCGCACTCTCGGCGAAGGCCGGCCGGGTTAATGTCACCGCATTCTCGTCCTACGTATTGGTAACGTAGAAGGAGGAGGAGGAGCAGGAGGAGGAGGAGGAGGAGCAGGAGGAGGAGGAGGAGCAGGAGGAGGAGCAGGAGGAAGAGGAGGCGCGGGGCGAAGGATAACACAATTAGCACTGCTGAAGTACGGGCCGCATGGGCAGAGAATCAGGGAGGGAACCCAGGCCGAGGGAAGGGGTCGGGAAGCAGGGGGGGGGCACGGTCCGGCACGAGCAGCTAATGCGACGGATCCGCCAGAATACCAAGTGTTGTTTTGCAGTGTTTTCGCGTTCTTGTCAGGGGGCGCCCCGCTGCCTAGGGACGCCTGCGTCGGTTCCCCCGAATGCCCCTGGAGGCCAAGACGCCCCCTGGCGTTCCCCGAGGCGCCCAGGCCGCCCCAGCGCCCCTGATGGTTTCCAGCGCGGCCCAAGTAGGCCACGAAGGCCGCCAAGATGGCCCAAGATGCCTCGAAAACGGCGCACATGGGCACCGAGACAGCACAACGCTGGCCCACAACGGCTCGGCTCGGTTTCCAAACGGACCAACAATAAAAATCCACGAAAGTCCTGAAGAGTCTCTCGGCGGGAACTGGGACGCTCAACTCGTGAATGTCCTGTGCGTTGTCGTTACACGTTTGCGCATTCCCGAATCTTCTGCATTCCGACCACAAGCGAGTCACATGTGAAGGCTTCCTGGGACCACGAGGCGCGATATGTCGCGCACTCTCTGCCCAGGTGCTGGCTGCCGCATGGAGCTGAAAAAGAGCAATGGGCATCGAAGGGCGATAGCATGTTGCGTGCGCAAAAGGCCTTCATCCCGACGAACAGGCGGAGCGCGCCCACCTGCTCGACGACAGTTTCGCCCGCTGGCCCGAGGAAACTGGCGACCTCACTCACGATATGGATGCGGCGATCGTCTGCGGAGATGTCCTGGCCAGAGTTGTCACTGCAGAGGTAGCGGAGACACGCGGCCATGGAACCGACGATGCCAGCAGCCTCCTCAGGCGCGAGCTGGGCGCCCGCAGCATCGCAAACCAAACGGTGCATCTCCTCATAATTGTCGGTGTCGCCAGGGCTCGCTTCGCAAAGCTCGGCGGCACTGACCATGGAAGCTTTCATAGTTGAGCTCTTAAGCTCCCGCTGCAACACCTGCAACTTCTGACGCGATGCAACGATGTCGGAGTTATCTGGCCAACAAGCCGAAACTGTTGTAGCGAACGTGAGAAGAGCATCCAAACGACAACTGTCAACGGTATTATTCTTGTCAGCGATATCACGGAGCATGTTCCTCAGATAGGAGTCAGCCTTCTGTTGGCCCACAACGTCCAATTTGCGCGTACTCCGAACGCCAGAGACGTAATCTGGCCGCTCCTCCTTAATCCGCCACCGTGCCTCGTGACACGAAGTGGAGCGCCCTGAGGTCCTGAGGAATTCTGTGTTCCTTCTGCTCTGTATTGGGGCAGTCTGATATATCAGGGTGAGGGGGCCGAAGGGTCATTCACTGTCCCTGGGTGCTTGGCTGAAGTGGATGCGGTGCGGTTTGTTTTTGTTGTTGCGTTGGTGATGTTGTTTGCGCACTGTTTGCCCCCGAACCCCGTCGGCCCCTTCCTCCGGCACATCGCCATTCATCGCCTTCGTCCTCATGCT